AAAAAAACACGTTAAAAATAAAAAAAGTGCCGAAAAGTGACTAACATTAGATTAACTTCAGTTATAAAGCTTTTATTACATCATAACTAACTTCAAGTTTAAAATGTCAACCTCAATTTTGACATATTTGTAATCTTTATTAAAAATCCTTTAAAATGAGTACAAACACGACATATTTATCTTCAATATTAATGAAGTTATGGTCAACTTCCGGTTAAGAATGTCAACGTCAATTTTGACATATTTGTAATCGTCGTGAAAAATCCTTTAAAATGAGTCCAAACATGATACGTTTAATTCCAATATTACTCGAGATATAAGCAACTTCCGGTTTGAAATGTCAATGTCATTTTGACATATTCTTAATTTTTATAAAATGTCTTAATATTTGTCACAAAAATATAATTAAAAAAAATAAAAAATCAAGGTTGTATTAATATTTAAAAATTAAATTGTTATCTTTATTGTTGCTAACTTCGGGTTTAATATTTTTTATTCTAACTTTTTTGTTTTTTGAGATAAGTACGTCTTGTTTGGATTCATTTTAAAGGTTTTCTTTAATAGAGAATACATCATGAAAGAATGCCATGAAGTTGTCCATTTGTCTATTATATGATAACCAACTTCAGATTTAAAATGTCAACCTCAATTTTGACATATTTATATTCTTCATTAAATATCCTTTAAAATGAGTACAAACACGACATATTTATCTCGAATATTAATGAAGTTATGGTCAACTTCCGGTTAAGAATGTCAACGTCAATTTTGACATATTTGTAATCGCCATGAAACGTCCTTTAAAATGAGTCCAAACATGATACGTTTAATTCCAATATTACTCGAGATATATGCAACTTCCGGTTTGAAATGTCAACGTCATTTTGACATATTCTCAATTTTTATAAAAAAAAAAAATAAAAAATTAAGGTTGGTATTAATATTTAAAAATTAAATTGCTATCTTCATTGTTGCTAACTTCGGATTTAACGTTTTTTATTCTAACTTTTTTGTTTTTTGAGATAAGTGCGTCTTGTTTGGACTCATTTTAAAGGTTTTTTAATGAAGATGACAAATATGTCAAAATTGACGTTGACGTTTCAAACCGGAAGTGATTGTATTTCCATTAATATTAAAGTTAAATATGTCGAGTTTGGACTCATTTTAAAGGATTTTTTATGAAGTTGACAAATATGTCAAAATTAAAAGTTGAAAGTTCGAACTTTGGACTCACTTTAAAGGTTATTTTATGAAGATTACCAATATAATAATAAAATTAAATCTTTTTCTCTTTCTAGTTTCTCTTTCTAGTTTTAGTTCAATAAAAATATACAACATAGTAATATCTTATACTAACTAGCGCTATCTATAACTGCCACTAGAACTAGCACTAGACATGAAAGAGTTCATAGAAAATTCTGCTCATATTGAAACTTGCAAAAATTGAAGGAAAGTGAATTTATAAAAAAGTAGGAACTGACAAAAGTAGTTGTCTTTCTATATTTGTTGCTATAGATAACGAGATATATGATGGAGATTAAATAAAATTGATTAGAAATTCAGCCCATTATTTGCAAAAATTGAAGAAAATCTGGGTTTCCAAAGAAATAGGAAATGACGAACATAGTTATCTTTGGACTCTTGCTGCTATAAGCAAAGAGGAATGCAATGCAGCTCAAATTAATAGACTCGGAACTTCTACTCAAATCAAAATTTGCAAAAACTTATGGAAAACTAATTTTCTCATGAAGTAAGAAATGCCAGAAAGATTTTTTGCAATATTTCAATTTAAACATCAATTTAAACTGATCAATGATTTTGCTGAACCTGAAGTTAGCAAAAACTCGTGGAAAATTAGTATTGTAATGAAATAAGAAATGGCAGAAGTAATTTTTTGCAAAATTTGCTTCTTTAGACATGGCGAGAAGTTTGCTGCAGTTTTAATTGCATTGATTAAAGATTTTGCTCAACCCAAAATTTGCAGAAATCAAGGAAAACTAGGTATGCAATGAAACAGGAAATGCCAAGATTTTTTGCATTTTAAACATGATGAGGAATTTGCTACAGCTCAATTTAAATTGATCAATGATTTCGCTGAACCCGAAATTTGCAAAACCTGCGCAACTGGTGCGCATAATTCGATAAGGTTCTTTAAATCATGGTCGGTAAAAAAGAAATCTACTGTTTTGTTAGATTACAACCTATCTTTATTTTATATATTTAAAAAAATTCTTTAAAGAACTTTATTTGTTATTACAAACTATATTTAACAATACCTAATCTTTATTAAACTTTATGATACAAACCCAAAAGTAAAAATTAACTTTAATTACTTTCATTCCCACTTCTATTCGGACTTGGGCTTCTAGAATGTTCCGATCCACTTCTAGATCTACTCCTCGATTTACTTTACTTCGGGTTTAACGTTTTTTATTCTAACTTTTTTGTTTTTTGAGATAAGTGCGTCATCTTTGGACTCATTTTAAAGGTTTTTTAATGAAGATGACAAATATGTCAAAATTGGCGTTGACGTTTCAAACCGGAAGTGATTGTATTTCCATTAATATTAAAGTTAAATGTGTCGAGTTTGGACTCATTTTAAAGAATTTTTTATGAAGTTGACAAATATATCAAAATTAAGTTAAAAGTCCGAATTTTTTGGTTTTTTGAGATAAATGCGTCAAGTTTGGACTCTCTAATAATAAAATTAAAGTTGACATTGACAACTAAAAGTTTTTTCACGACTAAACCCAAATGTTTTTAGTTCTCTTTCTAGTTTTAGTTCAATAAAAATATGCAACTTAGTAATATCTTATTAACTAGCATTACCTAACTGCCACTAGAACTAGCACTAGACATGAAAGTAGAGTTCATAGAAAATTCTGCTCATATTGAATCTTGCAAAAATTGAAAGAAAGTGAGTTTGTAAAAAAGTAGGAACTGGCAAAAGTAGTTGTCTTTCTATATTTGTTGCTATAGATAACAAGGTATATGATGGAGATTAAATAAAATTGATCAGAAATTCAGCCCATTATGTGCAAAAATTAAAGAAAATCTGGGTTTTCAAAGAAATAGGAAATGACAAACATAATTTTCTTTAGATATTTGCTGCTATAAGCAAAGAGGAATGCAGTTCAAATTAACAGACTCGGAACTTCTACTCAATACAAAATTTGCAAAAAATTATGGAAAACTGAATTTCTCATAAAGTAAGAAATGCCAGAAAGATTTTTAGCAATATTTCCATTTTAAACATGACGAGGAATCTACTACAGCTCAATTTAAACTGATCAATGATTTTGCTAAACCCGAAGTTTGCAAAAACTCATAGAAAATTAGTATTGTAATGAAATAAGAAATGGCAGAAGTATTTTTTGCAACATTTGCTGTTTTAGACATGGCGAGAAGTTTGGTGCAGTTCAAATTAAATTGATTAAAGGTTTTGCTCAAACAAAAATTTCCTAAAAATCATGGAAAATTAGGTTTGCAATGAAATAAGAAATGAAAGAAGGATTTTTCTTGCAATATTTGCATTTTAAACATGATGAGGAATTTGCTGCAGCTCAATTTAAACTGATCAATGATTTTGCTGAACCTGAAATTTGCAAAAACTCATAGAAAATTAGTATTGTAATGAAATTTGAAAGTTCTGTCGTTCCTTCTCTTACCAGATTGCGCAACTATGGAACTCCTTGTCTGTCGAGGCTAGATGTGCTTGCTCAGCCGCGCAGTTTAGGCGGTTGATTATTCGAAAGACTCTGGATACTAAATTTTGATTTTTTTTCTGTTTTTGTTTGTCTTGGTACAAGTTAAAATGAGTTGTAGTGTTACTACCTTTTCTGTTCTTGTACCAATTTAGCCATTATAATTTGAATATTTTTTTCTTTATTTTAGTTATAAGGATTATTTTATTTTGCCTTGTTAATTATATTTATTCCTTTTTTTTTGTTTCTGGTCAAATAATTTTGCATCTTGTTTTTGTTATCATTATTTCTGGCTCAATAAACAGTTTATTATTATTATTATTAAATAAGAAATGGCAGAAGTATTTTTTGCAACATTTGCTATTTTAGACATGGCGAGAAGTTTGGTGCAGTTCCAATCAACTTGATTAAAGATTTTGCTCAAACTAAAATTTCCTAAAAATCATGGAAAACTAGGTTTGCAATGAAATAAGAAATGAAAGAAGGATTTTCCTTGCAACATTTGCATTTTAAACATGATGAGGAATTTGCTGCAGCTCAATTTAAACTGATCAATGACTTTGCTGAACCCGAAATTTGCAAAAACTTGTGCAAAATTAGTATTGTAGTGAAATAAGAAGCGGCAGAAGTATTTTTTCAACATTTGCTGCTTTAGATATGATGAGAAGTTTGGTGCAGTTCAAATTAAATTGATTAAATATATTGCTCAACCCAAAATTTACAAAAAGGCATGGAAAACTAGGTTTGCAATGAAATAAGAAATGCTAGAAGGACTATTTTGCAATATTTGCATTTTAAACATGATGAGGAATCTACTGCATCTCAATTTAAATTGATCAATGATTTTGCTGAACCTGAAATTTGCAAAAACTCGTGGAAAATTAGTATTGTAATGAAATAAGAAATGGCAGAAGTATTTTTGGCAACATTTGCTGCTTTAGACATGGTGAAAAGTTTGCTGCAGTTCAAATTAAATTGATTAAAGATTTTGCTCAACTCAAAATTTGCAAAAAATCAAGGAAAACTAGGTATGCAATGAAATAGGAAATGCCAGAAGGATTTTTTTTCCAATATTTGCATTTTAAACATGATGAGGAATTTGCTGCAGCTCAATTTAAATTGATCAATGACTTTGCTGAACCCGAAATTTGCAAAAACTGCGCAACTGGTGCGCATAATTCGATAAGGTTCTTTAAATCATGGTCGGTAAAAAAGAAATCTACTGTTTTGTTAGATTACAACGTATCTTTATTTTATATATTTAAAAAAATTCTTTAAAGAACTTTATTTGTTATTACAAACTATATTTAACAATACCTAATCTTTATTAAACTTTATGATACAAACCCAAAAGTAAATATTAACATTAATTACTTTCATTCCCACTTCTATTCGGACTTGGGCTTCTAGAATGTTCCGATCCACTTCTAGATCTACTCCTCGATTTACTTTTCGATTTTCTCGATCCCGATTCACTTCTAGATCTTGATCTAGATTTCGAACGTGATCTACTTCTTGAACCACTTTTCGAAGATCGACTTCTCGATCTACTTTTAGATCTCGATCTACTTTTAGATCTCGATCTACTTTTTGATCTCGACCTACTTTTTGATCTTGATCTACTTTTCGATCTTGAATGACTTCTTGAATGCGATCTAGATCTAGACCTACTTTTCGATCGACTTTGAGATCTTGATCCACTTCTCCTAGATCCAGATCTTGACCTTGAACCGCTTTGTGATCTAGATCGACTTCTTGAACCAGATTTTGATCGACTTCGGGATCTCCTCGCACTTTTAGATCGACTTCTGCTTCGACTTCTCGAACTGGACGAAGAAATTCTTCGTTTCCTACCTTTTGAGGTTCCCCAGCGATCATCTCCACTTTCGGCACCGGAAGCAATTTTAAGTTTGTCATCGTCGCTGTCATCTTCGCTCGTTGAAATTGTTGCTTTTGAAACGATTCTACTTTTTTGTTTTGCCGTGAGTCCATCTTCGCCGTCTTCTTTCCTCTTTGTCTTATCGCGTCTTTTGCTTCGTTTTGATTTCGGACGATCAGAATCGGAATCTGATCGACCTCCGCGTCCACCTCTTTTCGTTCTACCTCCGCTTTTTCTTTTATAATCTTTTCGGTCTCCCGATCGTTTTCGTTTTTTGGGCATTTTTTCTCTTTCTACGCGGTTAACATCACCTGCATCACTTCCGGAATCGCTGACGTATTGATCTTTTCGACTTCTTCCACCTTTTTTGGCAGAACGATCTGGTGGCATCTCTAAAAACATCATGGCGTTTTTAGTTTTTTCTTTGTATTCTTGACGGACTAGTAACATTTTTTCCTTATTAGCTTTCTTTTCTTCCTCTAAACGTTTTTGTTCTTCAAGTTGTTTCATTTTAAAAGCTGTTCTTTCTTCGTCTTGTTTACGACGAAGTTGTCGCTCTTCTTCGTCGACTCTTCGTGCTCTTGCTACGTGGTATTGAGCTTGAGATAGTAAATCTTGACATTGTCTTGCTTCTAATCCGGCTAAATTTACATCGTAACGCATTCGTTCACCGTCAACTGCTAAATAACTGAAATATCTAAAAACAAACTTTATTTTTAAAATACACCCTGTATATATTACAGGGTGTTTCACGTAACTGGTTCGTTAGAACATTTTTAAGTTCCACTATTCGTACAGTTTCATTCGGAACATTTGATCTAAAATATTTTCAAGATGGCTGCCACTTCCGGGCTACCGGAAGTAGACCATAACCTCGTATATTTTAAATGGAATGCTACAGTAAAAAATTTATACACTATTTTAATAGTCAACATATTTTCTTATGTACAATTAAAAAATGTAGCATTTCATTTAAAGCAACGAAGTTATGGTCTACTTCCGGTGGACCGGAAGTGGCAGCCATCTTGAAAATGTTTTAGATCGAAAGTTCCGAATGAGCAACGTACACTACCAAAATTTCAAACCTCTATGAATAGTGGAACATTAAAAAGTTTTAACGAACCAGTTACGTGAGACACCTGTATATATTACTTATTGTTAGGGTAAATGAAATAAATGTACCATGTTTTCGGAGATCGTTTGAAAATCCTAAATTTTGTTTATAGATGAAATAAATTTCAACTTCATTTAGTTGTAATTAGATTTTTGGCCAGATATTCATAGATATTCAATTGGTGAGAAATAAGTGAACTAAGTTTACCTACTGCTTTCGCAGAAATTTAGGGAAGATTTATGATTAGTTTATAACCTCAAAAAGTTTCGTTTCTTAATTTCCAACCGTTTTGGAAAAATTATTTTTTTTGCAAAACAAACGGCAAATCGATATGCGATTCTTAAAAATGTATATAAAATGAATTATTCACTTTGGAACCTTAAAATTTGGTATAACATAACCTTAAAGGTTCCTTTATAACCTCAAAAAGTTTCATTTCTTAATCTCCAACCGTTTTGGAGAAAATAATTTTTTTCCTTAACTCCACTTTTAAGAAACGTCAAATCGATATGCGATTTTTAAAAATTTATATAAAATGAATTGTTCACTGTGGAAGCTTATGATTTAGAACAACCTAACCTTAAACGTTCTTTTATAACCTCAAAAAGTTTTATTTCTTAATCTCCAACCGTTTCGGAGAAAATAATTTTTGCTTTAACCCCACTTTTAAGAAACGTCAAATCGATATGCGATTTTTAAAACTTTATATAAAATAAATTTTTGACACGGGAAACTTATAATTTGGTATAACATAACCTTAAAGGTTCCTTTATAACCTCAAAAAGTTTCATTTCTTCATTCGTATCCGTTTTGGAGAAAATAATTTTTTTCTTTAACCCCACTTTTAACAAATGTCAAATCGATATGCGATTTTTAAAAATTAATATAAAATGAATTTTTGACACGAGAAGCTTATAATTTGGTATAACCTAACCTTAGATGTTCCTTTATAACCTCAAAAAATTTCATTTCTTAATCTCCAACCGTTTTGGAGAAAATAATTTTTTTCTTTAACCCTACTTTTAAGAAACGTCAAATCGATATGCGATTTTTAAAAATTTATATAAAATGAATTTTTGACACGGGAAGCTTATAATTTGGTATAACCTAACCTTATATGTTCCTTTATAACCTCAAAAAGTTTCATTTCTTAATCTCCAACCGTTTTGGAGAAAATAATTTTTTTCTTTAACCCCACTTTTAAGAAACGTCAAATCGATATGCGATTTTTAAAAATTTATATAAAATGAATTTTTGACACGGGAAGCTTATAATTTGGTACAACCTAACCTTAAACGTTCTTTTATAACCTCAAAAAGTTTCATTTCTTAATCACCAACCGTTTTGGAGAAAATATTTTTTTTCTTTAACCCCACTTTTAAGAAACGTCAAATCGATATGCGATTTTTTTAAATTTATATAAAATGAATTGTTCACTCTGGAAGCTTATAATTTGGAATAACCTAACCTTATATGTTCCTTTATAACCTCAAAAAGTTTCATTTCTTCATTCATATCCGTTTTGGAGAAAATAATTTTTTTCTTTAATCACACTTTCAAGAGACGTGAAATCGATGAGATTTTTAAAAATTTATATAAAATGAATTATTCGCTCTGGAAGCTTATAATTGCGTATAACCTAACCTTAAAGGTTCCTTTATAACCTCAAAAAGTTTCATTTCTTAATCTCCAACAGTTTTGGAGAAAATAATTTTTTTCTTTAATCACATTTTCAAGAGACGTCAAATCGATATGAGATTTTAAAAAATTTATATAAAATGAATTGTTCACTCTGGAAGCTTATGATTTGGAACAACCTAACCTTAAACGTTCTTTTATAACCTCAAAAAGTTTCATTTCGTAATCTCCAACAGTTTTGGAGAAAATAATTTTTTTCTTTAACCCCACTTTTAAGAAACGTAAAATCGATATGCGATTTTTAAAAATTTATATAAAATGAATTTTTGACACGGGAAGCTTATAATTTGGTATAACCTAACCTTATATGTTCCTTTATAACCTCAAAAAGTTTCATTTCTTCATTCGTATCCGTTTTGGAGAAAATAATTTTTTTCTTTAACCCCACTTTTAAGAAACGTCAAATCGATATGCGATTTTTAAAAATTTATATAAAATGAATTTTTGACACGGGAAGCTTATAATTTGGTATAACCTAACCTTATATGTTCCTTTATAACTTCAAAAAGTTTCATTTCTTAATCTCCAACCGTTTTGGAGAAAATAATTTTTTTCTTTAACCCCACTTTTAAGAAACGTCAAATCGATATGCGATTTTTAAAAACTTATATTAAACGAAAGGTTCACCCTAAAAACTTAGAATTTGGTATAAGATAACCTTGAAGGTTCCTTTATAACCTCAAAAAGTTTCATTTCTTAATCTCCAACAGTTTTGGAGAAAATAATTTTTATCTTTAATCACACTTTCGAGAAACGTCAAATCGATATGCGATTTTTAAAAATTTATATAAAATGAATTGTTAACTCTGGAAGCTTATAATTTGGAATAACCTAACCTTAAACGTTCTTTTATAACATCAAAAAGTTTCATTTCTTAATCTCAAACCGTTTTGGAGAAAATAATTTTTTTCTTTATTCATACTTTCAAGAAACGTCAAATCGATATGCGATTTTTAAAAATTTATATAAAATGAATTGTTAACTCTGGAAGCTTATGATTTGGTATAACCTAACCTTAAAGGTTCCTTTATAACCTCAAAAAGTTTAATTTCTTAATCTCCAATCGTTTTGGAGAAAATAATTTTTTTCTTTAACCCCACTTTTAAGAAACGTCAAATCGATATGCGATTTTTAAAAACTTATATTAAACGAAAGGTTCACCCTACAAACTTAGAATTCGGTATAATACAACCTTGAAGGTTCTTTTATAACCTCAAAAAGTTTCATTTCTTCATTCGTATCCGTTTTGGAGAAAATAATTTTTTTCTTTAACCCCACTTTTAAGAAACGTCAAATCGATATGCGATTTTTAAAAACTTATATTAAACGAAAGGTTCACCCTACAAACTTAGAATTCGGTATAATACAACCTTGAAGGTTCTTTTATAACCTCAAAAAGTTTCATTTCTTCATTCTTAACCATTTGAGAGAAACTAATTTTTTTCTTTAACCTCACTTTTAAGAAACGTCAAATCGATATGCGATTTTTAAAAACTTATATTAAACGAAAGGTTCACCCTAAAAACTTAGAATTCGGTATAATACAACCTTGAAGGTTCTTTTATAACCTCAAAAAGTTTCATTTCTTCATTCTTAACCATTTGAGAGAAACTAATTTTTTTCTTTAACCTCACTTTTAAGAAACGTCAAATCGATATGCGATTTTTAAAAACTTATATTAAACGAAAGGTTCACCCTAAAAACTTAGAATTTGGTATAAGACAACCTTGAAGGTTCCTTTATAACCTCAAAAAGTTTCATTTCTTAATCTCCAACAGTTTTGGAGAAAATAATTTTTATCTTTAATCACACTTTCGAGAAACGTCAAATCGATATGTGATTTTTAAAAATTTATATAAAATGAATTGTTAACTCTGGAAGCTTATAATTTGGTATAACCTAACCTTATAGGTTCTTTTATAACCTCAAAAAGTTTCATTTCTTGATCTCCAACCGTTTTGGAGAAAATATTTTTTTTTGTTTAACCCCACTTTTAAGAAACGTCAAATCGATATGCGATTTTTAAAAACTTATATTAAACGAAAGGTTAACCCTAAAATCTTGGAATTTGGTATAACACAACCTTCAACGTTCCTTTATAACTTCAAAAAGTTTTATTTCTTAATCTCCAACAGTTTTGGAGAAAATAATTTTTTTCTTTAATCACACTTTCAAGAAACGTAATTTTTCAAAACGGCTTGTTGCATTAAAAAGAGGATACTTTAATTAATATATGGTGATATTTCCACAAGGATCCTTCACGAAATTAATTTTATAAACTCCTTTTTTACTTACTTTAATGATAATCCCAATTCATGAACAGCTTGTAGCACAGTTTGAAGAGTCGATTTCTCATCTTTAAGTATTTGAGTGGCTAATCTTTGTAAAACCAACGCAATGTTATATAAAAGGACAGTATCTTGAGGTGCAACCCTTCTCGCTTTTAAGAAAACCATTTTGGCCTCTTTTAATTTCCCCGCTCGGAAATAAGCTCTCGCTAAATATTGAAGTCCCTCGACGTGATTATATTTATAAAACTTCCTCAAACAATTCTCGTACATTTGAATCGCGCTAACAAACTGTTTCTGCTCGACGTAAATATGCGCAATATTCAACCAAACGTCACAAAAATCGGCGGTCGCTTCACGAACTTGCGCGAAAATATCACGAGCTTCATTAACACATCCTTTATGCGCCAAAACCGACCCAACTCCGTTAGCGGCCCAAATATTTTTCGGATCAATCTTTAAAACTTGTTTGTACATGGCTAAAGCGCGATCTTGATGTCGTTTTTCGCGATCTTTGTCTTTAGTGGGTAGATGTAAAGTTTGGAGCCAAACATTTCCCAACGCAATTAACGAATACGAATCTTGAGAAGTGGCGGGGTTCTTTAAAACTCGTTCATATTTTTTCTGACCCGGTCCCCATTCGCTTTTAGCTAAATGTAAGTTACCTAAAAGTGACCAAGCATCCGGATGTTCCGTGTTAATTCGAAGAGCCTCTTTAAACCAATCAGAAGCTTCGTAAATTTGACCTTTATCCCTCGCCATGCAACCTAATCGCAAATAACAATCAACATAATTAGGATGTTCTTTGAGTATATCTTTGTATAATTTCTCAGATTTATCGAATAAGCATAAAGCTTCGTTTAATCGCGCTAAATTATAAGTCGTTGTGACGGAAATTGAATTATAATATTGGGGATCATGTTCAGCTTCAGATTTAGCCCGAATTAAAGCTTCCTCCAAATTCTTTTTAGCCTCATCCAAATTATTTAAGCGATAATGTAACGCTCCAACGTTATTTAAAATCTCAGTCGGTATCTCAGCTTGGACATCTTTTTTTAATATCTTAATCGCAGTTCCATACGCGTTTAAACTCCCTTGTAAATCGGATTGCTCCAAAATTTGAGCCAACTCAATCCACGCTTCGATATCATCCGGAAATTGTTCGGTAACTTTTTTTAAATGATTCTTTGCGATATCCCTTTTCGATTGCGAGGTTGAATTCGCGTACAAAGATCCTAATATTTTCATGGTTTCGTAATTTCCAGGTTGGGCTTTTAATACTTTCTCAAAGCATTGCGCCGCGTTTTCGGAATCGCCCCGATAAATATACATTTGACCCAAACCAAAATGGGGTAAAACAAAGGGGGCTGGAGCAAATTGAGTTGCTTGATAATAATATTGAAACGCTTGATCATAATCGCCCTGTACGTGAAAAGCCCTTGCTAATTGATAACAACTTTCAGCTCGCATCGCTTCATTTTCGGTGTTATGGAATGCGTGTAAAGCAAGATGTTGCACTTTATTGTAATCCTTTTTAAAGAAAAAATGATTTGCTAAATGATTTAAAACCATCGGGTTCGAAGAATCGATCGTGTAAGCTTTTGAAAGCATTCGAACCCCGTTTCTTATCGATTCGGGTTGTTGTTGGTTCAATTTTAAAATCGCTAATCCCACTAAAGCTCCAACGCATTGCGGATCAAGCGATAATGATCGCTCGAAAGCTAAACGAGCTTTATCTTGATTGTTTAATTTCATGAAGCAATGTCCCATTCCTAATCGAACGGCGGCGGGACAACTCGGATTCGTTCTTAAAGCTTTTTTATAGAAAGCTAAAGCCCCGCGGAAATCTTTTTTGTTATATGCAATACAAGCTTTTCCTAATAACGAAGGAATATTATTCGGGGATTGATTCAAAACGAAATTAAATTGGGCATCTGCTTGTTCCATTTTATCGCCTTCCAGTAAACAGAAATAAGCTCTTCCCAATAAATGATTCTAAAAAACAACAAAAAAGAATTAATTAAACGATCAATAAATTACTTAATTCAATAAAAGTTGAAAAAGATGTTCTTTTTTTAACATAAATCGATAGGAAATTAAAAATCCTTTAAAATGAACCCAAACACGACCTATTTATCTCCAACCGTTATCGAGATATCTTAATTTTTGGAAAAAAAAAATGGCGATTTTTTGACATTTGACAGTTTATAACCTAACTTTTTCATTTTTTAACTCAAATACGTCGTGTTTGGTATCAAATTAAAGCATTTTTAATTCTTATTAAGATTATTTCAATATTTATCAAAAAATCGTTATATTTAATTTTGACATTTGACAGTGTCTAACCTAACTTTTTTATTTTTAACCCAAATATATCATGTTTGGTATCAAATTAAAGCATTTTTGATTCTTATTAAGATCATTTCAATATTTATCAAAAAATCGTTATATTTAATTTTGACATTTGACAGTGTTTAACGTAACTTTTTTATTTTTGACCCCAATATATCATGTTTGGTATCAAATTAAAGCATTTTTGATTCTTATTAAAATAATTTTAATATTTATCAGAAAATCGTTGTAATTAATTTTGACACTTTCTAACCTAACTTTTTTATTTTTTAACCCAAATATATCATCTTTGGTATCAATATTTATTAAAAAAATCATCCTGCATCCGACCAACACGGCTGAGCATGCCCGAGGAGTCAGACATAACCAAATTTTTTGGATTACTCGGGTAAAGTACTATTTGTTTCTTAATAAGGATCAATTAAAAAAATATTTTAATTATAAAGGTGTTTTTTTTTAACATAAATGGATAGAAAATTAAAAATCCTTTAAAATGAACCCAAACTTAACCTATTTATCTCTAACCGTTACCGAGATATCTTCATTTTTAGCAAAAAAAAATGGTGGTTATTTGACATTTGACAGTTTCTAACCTAACTTTTTTATTTTTTAACCTAAGTGTATCATGTTTGGTATCAAATTAAAGCATTTTTGATCGTTATTAAGATAATTGTAATATTTATCAAAAAAACGTTATATTTAATTTTGACATTTGACAGTTTCTAAGCAAACTGTTTTATTTTTTAACCCATATATCTTGTTTGGTATCAAATTAAAACATTTTTGATTCTTATTAAGATCATTTCAATATTTTTCAAAAAATCGTTACATTTAATTTTGACATTTGACAGTTTCTAACCTTTTTTTTATTTTTTAACCCAAATATATCATGTTTGGTATCAAATTACAGCAATTTTGATTCTTATTAAGATCATTTCAGTATTTCTCAAAATCGTTACATTTAATTTTGACATTTGACAGTTTTTAACGTAACTTTCTTATTTTTTTGACGTAAACATATCGTGTTTGGTATCAAATCAAAGTATTTTTGATTCTTATTAAGAAAATTTCAATACTTATCAAAAAAATCGTTGTTTAATTTTGACATTTGACAGTTTTTAACCTAACTTTTTTTATTTTTTAACTCAAATACGTCATGTTTGGTATCAAATTAATGCATTTTTGATTCATATTAAGATCATTTCAATGTTTATCAAAATTGTTCTATTTAATTTTGATATTTAACAGTTTCTAACCTAACTTTTTTATGTTTTAACCCAAATATATGATGTTTGGTATCAAATTAAAGCATTTTTGATCCTTATTAAGATAATTGTAATATTTATCAAAAAATCGTTATATTTAATTTTGACATTTGACAGTTTCTAACCAAACTGTTGTATTTTTTAACCCAAATATATCATGTTTGGTATCAAATTAAAACATTTTTGATTCTTATTAAGATCATTTCAATATTTATCAAAATCGTTACATTTAATTTTGACTTTTGACAGTTTCTAACCTAACTTTTTTATTTTTTAACCCAAATATATCATGTTTGGTATCAAATTACAACATTTTTGATTCTTATTAAGATCATTTCAGTATTTCTCAAAATCGTTACATTTAATTTTGACATTTGACAGTTTTTAACCTAACTTTTTTATTTTTTAACTCAAATACGTCATGTTTGGTATCAAATTAATGCATTTTTGATTCATATTAAGATCATTTCAATATTTATCAAAAAATCGTTCTATTTAATTTTGATATTTAACAGATTCTAACCTAACTTTTTTATGTTTTAACCCAAACACATGATGTTTGGTATCAAATTAAAGCATTTTTGATTCTTATTAAGATCATTTTAATATTTATCAAAAAATCATTACATTTAATTTTGACATTTGAGAGTTTCTAAACAAACTTTTTTATTGTTTGAACCGAAACTAAAATTTAAACTAGGTATCTCGAGTTATCTACTTTTTGTAAAGAAGAAACCTGTAGTTAAACAGATACCTAGTATTTATAAAAGCCAATAGATGGCGCAAAACTCGATTCTATTAATTACCTATTTTTTGAGTTATAATATTATAAAATAATATTTACCTGATCATACATAATAATTTTATCCGCAGTTGTGTATAATAAAGTAGCTTTTGTAAACAACTCCCGTTTTTTATCTTTATTTTTTTCTCGATTAGCTTCTTGCACATAATATGCAGCGAGCATATCGAGTGCTCGCATTTGATCCTTTTCATAATCACGATATGTAACATTCGCGTCAGTTCTTGAGGCATCCAAAATCTTAATGAAATCATTTATCTTCCCTTGCTTGTAATATTCCAACTAAAAATTGTTATGATATTATACAGCATTAAATAAACAAAATTAACTAAATTACCGCCAAATTAACCCAAATGTTTAAGTGGGTGTGTTCTTGTCGTAAAATACCTAAAACCTCGTCCCCATCCGGTAATTGATCCAAACACAACTCAATCACCTAAAAAAAAAGGAAGCGAAACGAAAAGTGAGGTTAGATTCGACGTATATACGAAATTATTAGTTTTTAAGGGTTATTACCTCATCGGTGTCCCTTAAAGGGATTTCTATAGATCCTGCCATCGTTTTCTTGGTTAGATTTGATTACATTACTGGGTTTTTAACGAAATTGAAACGTAAACTAACCTATTTATGTTTGACAGATCAATGAACGCTTGTATTTCCGGAAATAACAATCTAATTGAATTTAATTAAAACTAAATTGTTACATTTTAAAACAATTTTATGAAATGAATTAATTAACAATTAAAGACGTTTCGCAAATTACTTTTGGTTAAATAAATTTAAAAATGCGTTTAAGGGATAAAAACCGGAAGTTGAAATTGGCGGGAAATTTGAATGTTGATTTAGTTTATTTAAAATAACTTCGTTTATTAATTAATTTGGTTAACGATTAAATGATTTTATTAATTAAAATAAGTGGGAAATAATAAAAAATGATGTTTATTTATGAAATTGATCAAAAAAAAATTGATTATCTTACTTAAAGAGGAGCAAACACGTTCGAGGGTTTAGAATCGAAGGTAAAAACAGCCCTCACTTCGTTGTTTCATTACGAGCAACCGTGGGGGGTGTAATATTCAAAAGGTGGAGGGGGCGTCCAAATGATAGGGTGAGCGTCCCTCGGCGTCGCGACGCCGTAGTACAAAACACGCGTTCGTTTCGAAAAGCGTCTCTTCACGGTCGACGTCGGTCGGTGCGCTCCAATAAATTTTAAATATTACGTTTTTTCCAAATCAGAAATGTGTCTTTCTTATAAACTAATTTATTAAAAAATTCTTATTGAGTGCCCCTTTACATTTTTAGCGCATTTTTGGAGATTAATCCGTTGTTAAAATGTAAGTTTTACGATTACTTTGTAATTAATTAGTTTGAATTAGTTTTAATAATGAATTGTTTGCAAACTCAAAGTTGTGGTGATTGGAAAACGCTTCAAGTTTTAAAGAAACTTTCGTTTTATTCGAGTTTATTCGATGGAAGTTTCGAAGTTTTGCTATTAGTTAATGTATTGAAGGGTTGTAAATCGTTGGGAATAATGTTAATTATAATAAGATATTGTTTTATTCGATTTTTCGACGAAAGGGTGAATTTATTTTTAGAAGCAAATCTCCAATTTGAATTTATGGAAATGTAGGGAAATTTATGTTGGTTTTATTTACGTTTTAAAGTAAATTAAAGAATAATTTAAGTCCTTTTTCTTTTTGATATAAATGGTTATTAATATTTAATTTTTCTTGGTTGGCTATGTTAATAAGCATATTTTTGCATTAAGTTTCAATTTGATATAATGTTACTGTGAAGTTAAAGTTTTCTGTGAAGAAAACTACATTACCGGCTTTCTAAAATAGAATTCTTTAATTTTCATAAAACATTTAGAACGTTGAGTGGTCTTGTGTTATATATTATAACATTTTATAAGCGCTTAAACTAACATTATGAGCATATTTTTGGTTGCCCTGATCATTAATAAATTCTTTTTCCATAATCTTCTTCATTCTCTTGCCCCCATTTATACCGTAAAGCATTAGGGTTTTGGATACATCTTCCTATCTTTGCCATAGGCCATACTTCAGCGAGTTTCTTTCAATGTCTCCCTCCCATTGGGCTCTTGTTCTACCACACATTCCTTTTCTTTCTGGTCTCCTGTTGAATATTTTAGGTATTCTTACAGGTACATGTAACTTTGTTCGACTATGTATCAGACCAAGATTAGTTTCTAAACTGGAAAGTCCACTTCACAAAGTGAAAATCAACTTATTTCTTCTATCTACTAATTAAATAATGATTTTATTTAAAATCATTCGTTTTTAGGTTATGTTTTTCTTGGCATCTAAAGGATCATAAAAGAATTACGATGCTTATGAATAAATAATATAAAAAAGTAAATAAATAATAAAACTTACTCTGAGGGCGATTTGATTTAGTTAAAAGCATCATAAACACTTAAAAACACATAAAATATAGTTGTAAAGTTTCGTTCAAATTGACACCCGATTTTGACTGAATTAATACCAACCCCAAAATAAATAAAAACACTAAACGTCAATTAAGTAATTTCTAAATAAAATTATTAATGTTAAAATTAATTAATTAAATTATTAAATAAATAAAATTCGCGATTTAAATGAATAAAAATGGATTTTTTCAATATAAAAATGTAATTAATGTTGAAATTGAACGGCGACATTTAAGTGAAGTCGTCTAATTTACTACCAACCTAAAAAAAAAAAATTTTACTTAATGACAATAACAAAATAAATAGTTACTTCCTCTGTCCGATAATAGTTGCTACATTTCAGTTTAATGTAAAAATTATTGTAAATATGAAACGTACAAGCGATTTATCTAGATACATAAGGTAATATAAGAATCAAAGTGTGTCAAGACTAAAACCGACTTAGCTGTTGCACTTGTTTTGTGATAATTAGTTTCCTTACGTCAAATTTGACATTTTGAGCGATTTAACGGCTGTACATTCAAAATGGACAAAAATATTTCGGAATACATTCAAACAGGTGGAAAAAAGTGTAGAGAATTTAACAACAACCAACGTAAGTAAATTTTACATTATTTATTACAAAATGTCAGTCAAGGTAAACTTAAACGAGGCGCGATAAATGCCGCCTCACGCAAGTTTTCTTGCTCAACAATCTCCAAATTGTGGAAACGAGCTAAAGGTTGTCTAAACAATAAACTCATAAAAAGAGATGTGGACGGAAAGTCAAAGATTAAAGCCAGCAAATTGCAAACATTTCTTCTCTTCCTTTGTAATCATGTAAGGTGCCAAAAAGTACATTGCATGACAGATTAAAGAAAGGAAATAATTCGTAAGTTATTCACAGGAATTAAAATTTTCTTCTTTCTCTTGCCCCCAACACCTTATGGTGTTGGGTTTTGGATCCATCTTTTATACATCTTCTTATCCCTGGCCATATTTTATCTTCTTTCATTCGAACCAGATGACCATACCAACTTAGTTGTGTTCCCTCTATTTCCTATACCAGGTGATTTAAGCTTAGTTTTTCCCTGATATTCTTGTTCTGCGTCCTATCTCTTCTGGTTTTCCCCAATATCTTGCGTGGGTACTTAGCTTCCTTCTCTTTCGATTTTGACCGGTTTTGATATTTAATTACGCTTACTCTGGTAGCTGTCCCTAGTTCTCTGATCTTTTTCCATATATCCTTGAGACTCCACGATTCTTCTGATTTCTTCTACTTCTTTTTCTTCCAAAATTCTTAATTTCTTCTGAAGTTCTCCTTCATACTTCTCACTTTTTTCTTTCTCTTGTTTTGTGTATTCGATTCAGTCTCTTTTCTTCCCAACCACGCTACACTTTAAGTTTTTAACGTCTATGTTTTAAAGTTTAACTTTATTGTGATGTGTTTTTCATTGTTTAAAAATATTACATAAGGTTTTAATGGTTTTGATGTTGTTTGTTTTTAATATGTGCTTGAATAATATGATGATTTAAGATGATTTTTCAATTCTTCAAGTTTTAGTCTTTCGTATTATATTGTTGTTGTTTCTTTTGGAGCTGGTTTTAGGTTGGTATCAGTTATCAATACTTTACTTCTTTTTTGGGTTGGTATTAATATTTTTAATGTAACTAACTTAAGAACTGTCAATATTGTCAACAGTGTCAACTGTCATTTTTATTATTGTGTTTGTTGTACTTCTTGTTCTTCCAGAATTCTTAATTTCTTCTGAAGTTCTCCTTCATACTCCTCCCTTTTTTCCTGGTTTTTCAATTCTTCCAAGTCAATACCAACCCAAGAAACAGTAAAGTATTACTGTTTCTAGGGTTGGTATTAACTTTTAATGCAATTAACTCATTGAGGTCTTATTTATAATGTAGAGAGCGTATGTGGTGGTGGTGGGGGTAATCGGAAAGTCAGACATGTTGGATGTACCGACCTGAACTTAGCTATAGTTTCAAGTCTCTATTGTACCTACAATTATAACCTCACAATTCTCATAAACATATTGTTATTTTTATTAAAATTTGATTTTTGTTGAAAGTTTTCGAATTCTTTTCGTTTCACATATTTTTTTTTTTAATTTGGTAGGTTGGACGATTATTTACAACAGTCTATAAAATGTTTCTGGTTACTTGACTTGGAATTAACAATTGAAGACCTCGGTGTAAGAAGGTTACAACCAGGGACAACCACAGAACAGTAGTATAGACAACTCCTTGTCTTGATAAATGGACCTACCCCTTCTTGCACCGAGGTCTTAAATTGAAGTTCAAGTAAAGTTTAATAACTAACTTAAGAACTGTCAATATTGTCAACAGTGTCAACTGTCATTTTTATTATTGTGTTTGTTGTACTTCTTGTTCTTCCAGAATTCTTAAAGTCTCCTGAAGTTCTCCTTCATACTCCCTTTTTTCCTGGTTTTTCAATTAATCCAGTTTTACTCTTTTATATTATATTCTTGTCGTTTCTTTTGGAGGTGCTTTCAGGTTGGTATCATTTATCACTTTACTTTTTTTTGGGTTGGTATTAATTTTTAATGTAACTAACTTAAGATCTGTCAACAATGTCAACAGTGACAAGTGTCATTTTTATTATTGTGTTTGTTGTGACTAAAAGTAACATTCAAATTCAAAGTAACAATTAAATTTAATCAAAATAACTCAATTGAATAATCTTAAACAATCGAAGTGGGGGCAATACAGTTACAATTACAGTTCAAAGTGCTGATAATTGTCTTTTATCCTGGTGAAACCGATTAAAATCAACCGCATTAATCGTTGCGGATATCAAAGGGAGTCTCAGGTACGCTCGCTATCACCAAACGTCGTTCACATACAGTCGATTTTCCGGTAGAATTATCTCTGAAAGCTCTTTTGTGTGCAGATATTTGCATATAATATTTTATTAATTTTTCATTTTTTAGGTTAGTTCCATTTTTTTTAATTTTAATATTTATTGTAATTTGATTGACGAATTTATTATTTATTATTTTAATTTTATACATGTATTTTCCATTATAATTGGAAATTAAAAAAGTAAAATATGTGACAGCGGTGGGATTCGAACCCACGCCCTTTCGGACTGGTGCCTAAAACCAGCGCCTTAGACCGCTCGGCCACGCTGCCTATAAAACATTTTTATTTTTAACCAACTTAAAAAAATTTAATTTTATCAAGTACAGTGGCTCAGTTTATTTGATACACTCTACAGGATGATTCAAAAAACCGTTGACAGACTTTTAGAGTAGATAAAACACGAAAAATTAAAATGAATAGTCTTAATATACATGGGGTCGCAAATGCCTCGTTGGCGAGATATAGCGGATCAAAGTTTCTTTAAAATTAAACATTATCTGCTATAAAAAGCACTTTTTTGAAAATATTGTCTACGCCATTGCTCTCTAAGCGTGTAAAGTGTTTTATATTGTATATTAGAGACTTTTCATCTTAATTTTTGATGTATTACCTGCTCTAGAAGTCTGTCAGCGGTTTTTTGAATCACCCTGTATAGTTAAAATCTAAAAAGAAGTTAAAACAGAGAATTTTTTTCGATATAACTTGTAAGTAACAAGAATAATACCTGTAAATTAAGTAAAAAAACTTGGTTTTTAACAATATACAAATTAGACAACAAAAGTATTATTCAACTTTGTCACAAATTATTTCTTATTTCATACAGTTGAATTCAGATATTCTAAACTGTAATTAATTTGGTGTTGATTCGACCAGTTTTTTGGTTACTTGTGGCCTAATATTCTGCCAATCGCTGTAGAATTTGAATGGTTTATTCATTTAGGGTTTGGAAGAATATATTACTTTGCTGTTTTGCTACTCGGCATTAATAACAATGGATTGTATTAC